ACAGCGCGGTGAGGGAGCGCGCTGGGGTCCTCGGGTCCCGGCCGGGCAGCGGCTGCCGGCGCGGAGATGCGCTGGGGCGCCCAGGTGGGTGGCCTGGGGATCCAGGGCTTCCTTGGGCTCAGCGGCTCACGGGAGCCACCTGCCCGGGCTGGACTCCCCGGGCCAGGCCCACTGAAGGGAGGGCCCTGTCGTGGGCCGGCGAGCAGGTGGCTGGGCAGCCTGGGTCCCGGGAGGGAGGGCAGGCAGGTGTGGGCAGGGTAAAGCGTCATCAAGGTGGCAAATCGTCGTGGGCACCTCGGGCCACCTGAGGAGGGTGTGGAGAGAAGGGAATGGGGGCCGGCGGAAAGGACGGACGGGCTCTCTGTGGGACGGTGTGCTCCTGGTGGCGGGAGTGCACGGCTCTGAGAGCGAGGCGCTCTTCAGCAGGCACCAGTCTGGTGGAGAACGGAATGCGGAGGGCTTTGGGCATTTGCGCCGCCGGCTGGTCTGCAGGGGGGCCGCGGGGAGTGGAGCGGGAGCGGGAGCCCGAGGGAGAAGGAAGGAAAACGCAGCCCCCGGAAAGCAGGTGAGGAGAGACGTGCTGCCAAGTGGCCCAGGCCTGCGGGGGTGGGCGTGGGATCGGGCGGGAAAGGCGCGTGACCTGGTGGGGGAGGGCGTGTGTGCGCCAAGCCTGGGGCCAGGAGCGTCGAGGCGTCAGGGCTCGGCACTGGGCCCTTTGTGCTAGGGGCGCAAGGCCGGAGCGGCGGGCCAGGCAGGAGCGGGCTTGCGATAGGGCGTGGCTCCAGGCCCGCCGGGGTCCGGTGCCCTGGTGGGGGCGGGCCAAAAGGTGGGCGTGTCAGGAGTGGGATTCGAACCCACGCCTCCAGGGGAGACTGCGACCTGAACGCAGCGCCTTAGACCGCTCGGCCATCCTGACGGCGGGCCTGGGCGCGTCGCCGCTCGCCTGGCTGGGACCCCGGCGCGAACGCTGGCGGCGGCTGGCGGCTGTGTGGGCGCGCAAGGGACGAGGGACGCGCGCCCCGGCCGACCAGGAGCAGCGCCAGCCGCCTCGCCTGGCGCCGCGCCCCGCGCCGCCGCCGCGCCGTCGCCGCCGCCCTCGCCCCGCGCCGCCCCGCCCCCTCGCACATCGCGGCCCCCGCACCCAGAGACCGGCGTCGGCCCAGCCTGTCTGGCCGCCGCCGCCGCCCCCCACCCCCCACCCCCCACCCCCACTAGGTCCTCGCCGCCCTCCCTCCTCCGCCCCTGCCCATCCGGGGCGCCCGTCCTCCTCTGCTCGCATCCTTGCTTGCCCGCTCGGGCCTCTTCTCCCTGCGCGATCCGCGCCGGGCAGGCCCTAGGCGCCGGCGCACTCGGAGTGTTCCGCGCCGTCCGGGTCCGGGGCCCGGGCCTGGGGTCCACTCCGAGTCGGGCTGGGAGGGGCTGCTGTGCGGGCTGGCGCGGTTGGTTTGGGGTCCCGGTCGGGTGTGGCACGTGGCGGGCGCCTGCGTAAGGCAGGGCGTCGAGGGCAGGGGTAGGCGTGGGCGGGCAGGCGGAGAGGGGGTCGGGCGCCCGGGTGGGCCCGCCGCCGCCGTCCTCGTTAGTATAGTGGTGAGTATCCCCCGCCTGTCACGCGGGAGACCGGGGTTCGATTCCCCGACGGGGGAGGCAAGACGCCCTTTTTGGTCGCCGGCGCCACCGCCGCTCTGTCCAAACGCTTGCCCCCAGGGCCCTTCTCCTCCCTCGCGCGTCCGGCGAGAAGCGCGGGGGCGACGACGGGTGCCCGGCTTGCCCACCGTCGAGCGCCCCCACCCCTTTGCCTTCCTCGTGGACCCCGGGCGCGCGCGCGCGCGCGTGCCGGGTCACCACGGCCCAGCCAGGGCCTCCTGTCGTGCCCCCGGCGCCTGACGAGTGACTGGCCGCAACGGGCTCCTCGGCGACGCGACGCTGCCCCGGTGCTGGATGGGCGCGGGGGAGGGGACGGGTGGGCGGCGGCTGGGTCGGGTCCTCTGTGGGTGCGGGATGTGGCCTCGCCGGGCACTCCGCGGAGAAGGGCCCGGGCGAGCGCGAGCGGGTCGCCGGAGGGCAGCGTGTCTCGCGGGGCGGGGAATGCCCGGCCGGCAGCCGAGGGCCGGGGGAGCGGCACGGCGGCCCAGAGCGCCCCCCAGAGGCGGGCGGCGGGCGGTCGGGCCTGCGGAGCCGCACAGCGGCGTCGTGCTGGCGGGGCTGGGCCTGGCGCTGGGGCTGCGGCTGGGGCTGGGGCTGGCGCTGGGGGCTGCGGGCTGGGGCTGGGGCCGGCCGCTGCTCGGCGCCTGCGGCAGCGCAGAGCTGCCGACCGGCGGCACGTCGGGGCAGGGCGGCGCCAGGCGGCCCAGGCGGCGGCGAGAAGGCGTGAAGGCGCCTCTGCGAAGCGTGCGCCGGCGTCTCGGGGCGGCCGGGGCTGTGCAGCGTTGGTGGTATAGTGGTGAGCATAGCTGCCTTCCAAGCAGTTGACCCGGGTTCGATTCCCGGCCAACGCAGCTGGCCAACCTTTTGCACGGCTCCAGGGCCCTCGTGCCCAGGCCCGATGGGAGCCGGGAGCCGGGAGCCGAGAGCCCGGAGCCGGAGCGTGGCCCGAGGCTGAGCGCGTGTGTGAGGGAGGGAAGGAGGTGCGCAGCGTTTTGAGGGTGCTGCCGGCAGGGCGGGTGGGTTGGTAGGGCGGAGCGGGCGGGCGGCTGGCCGTGGCCAGGCAGGGGCCCTTGGAGCCAAAGCGGAGGCGACGGGGTGGTCTGGAGGCGCTGCGCCCAGGGCGCGGCGGGCCAGGCGCAGAGCCCGACGCTCCCTGGTGGTCTAGTGGTTAGGATTCGGCGCTCTCACCGCCGCGGCCCGGGTTCGATTCCCGGTCAGGGAAGCCTTTCTTCTTCCTCTCGGCCTCTCCGACCTCTCCCCAGCGCATCCGCACCCCTTTTAGCCGAAGCTGGCTGGCTTCTCCCTTGCCTCGCGGCTAGCCCCACGGCCTCGGGGCCCAGACAAGGCCAGGCGCACGGCCGAGCCCCAAGCCTTGCCCTGTCGCCTCGGCCAGCCCAACCCTTTTGGCCTCGCCAGCGGGCCGGCCGCCCAACGGCAGCGCGTCGGCGCCTCGCCTGGGCGCTCGCATGGCTCCCCCCTCTTCCTCCGTCCCAAACCCGAGAGGCCGCGCGCACGCGCGCGCGCGATACCCTCTGTCCTCACGCGGGGCCCACCCACAGACGCCCGCAACGTCCGGCCACCGCAGGGGCTTGGACTCTCCGGCTGCACTGCTGGCGCAGGAGAAACCCCGCCACCCCTGACAAGCCACCCCTTGCTCCTTCCGGAGGTGCTACTGAGTGCCGCGGGGAAGCGGGCCGGGGGGGGTGGAGGGGTCGGAGGGGGAAGAGGTCGGGGCAGGGTGAGCGATCTGCCTCTTTGCGTCGGGACACCTGCTGGAGCCCCTGGTCCCTTCCCTCGCCCCTCGGGCCAGCCACCGCTCGGTCCAGCTTCCCGGCCACCACGAGCAGAGAGCGGCACGGTTGCGCCGGGGATGTGGAGTTGGGAGAGCGAACGTGGACGCGTGCACGATCACGAAGCAGAACCGACGGGCAGTGCAGGGGAGAGACAGCAGGAAGATTCGGGAGGCCGGTGGGGAAAACCCAACAGCCAAGCAGGGGGAGGGCGTGGAGGCACACCGGAGACAGACGGTGGACTTGTAGCCAACAGGTTCTTGAAATCGCATCACCCATCCCTTGAGTCCCACGGCAAAGTGGCAAGCGTGTTCCCTGGAACGCCTTCCACCTCCCCCCAGCCCCGACCGCCACCGCGCAGGCCCACGGCCGAGTTTGCCCGTTGAAGGTTTTCCCACTGGCGCCTTAGCCGACACCTAGCCAGGAGCTACTCCAGCCCTGTCTCCAGCCCTGTGCCCGTCGTCTTGTCCGGGTGCTCCTCCAGCTAAATCGCAGACCACGGTCTCCTTCCCAGAAACACTTGCACGCCTCTGTCCGCCACGGGTCTGCTGTCTGTTCAGAGATTGTCTCCTTCAGGAGCCCAAGCGGACAGCCCGTGCACCGGCCAAACCTGCCGCGGCACCACACTGGCTGGGTTGGGGCAAGGTCGTCCCAGCGGTGGAAAGGAGCCGCTGTGGGCAGCCGGGCGCTGACCATCACCACGGGAACTTCCCTCAGCGCCATTGCTTCTGTGGGTGTGTGGGTGTGTGTGTGTGTGTGTGTGTGGTGTGAGCGTGTGGGGGTGTGTCTGGATGCGTGTGGGGTGTGTGGGTGTGAGCGTGTGTGGGGGGGTGTGTGTGGAGCGTGTGTGGTGGGGGATGCCGCGGGATGAAGGTGTTTACTCACGTGGGTGGCCTCCCACGGGGGTCAGGGCATAGAGCGAGGGAGGATCCCAGAAGGAGGGGAGGGCCGGGGGCAGCCCGGGTGTGTGGGTGGGGTGCCCGGCGCGGGGAGGTGTGGGGCTTGCGGGACCGGTCCAGAGTGCGGCTGGACAGTCGGGCAGGGTGTCTGCAGAGGCTTCGGTGGGGCGGGGGAAGAGCTCCTTCCCCGGCGCCATGCCAGGCATGGACGTGAGCACCTGTGCGGGAGGGTGAGCTCTGAGGTAGGGGAGGGGAGAGAGCACGAGTGTGCCTGAGGAGGCGTGTGGGAGGCCGGGACTGCCAGCCGAGAATGTGAGCGATGGGGGTGGGGGGTGGGTGGGAGGGGTCCAGCCTGGAGGCTGGCAGGAGCTGCGCGTGGCAAGTGCTGGGGGAGCGGGCCCCGGTGCAAGAGAGCTGGAGGCCCCCGTGGCGGGACAGGACCGTGGCGGAGGAGGTGCGCGGGGGGGAGACTGCTGTGCGGTGCTGCAAGGTGGTCAGGCCAAGGGGTGGGGTGTGGGGGGCGTGGGGTGGGAAGCAGGCCGGCGGGCAGGCCGAAGGGAGACACAGAGAGAGGGCGGGCCCGGGTCTAGGAGCCGTCCCAACGGGGTGAGGGATTCCACCGCCCCCGAGACTTCGATCACCTGTCATCGGGACAGCCAGTCATGCGTCAGGGGGCGTCCTGGGCTTGAGATTCAGAGAGGCCAAAGGGACAAATGCCACACAGGATCATTGACCAGTGAGGACTTGGAGAGGAGGGGGCGTGCAGGCAGGGGAACCGTGAGGGGATGTTGGGGCAGGAGGGGCTGGTGGGGCTGGAGGTGCAGGCTGTGCTGGTGCTTGTGTTGCTGGTGGAGGACGACTTGGTGCTGCTGCTGCTGGTGCTGGGGGTTGACCTCGGTGCTCTTGGTGCCGGTGCGCGGGCTGCTGTGGCGATGGTGTGCACGGTCCCGGTGGCAGGCGGCGGTGGTGATGGACTCCAGGAGTGTTGGCGATGGTGCCCGACGCGGTGTGGTGATGGTGGACTTGGTGGTGGAGCTGGTGTTGGTGGAGCTGGTGGAGTTGGTGGAGGTGGTGGCGGGGGTGGCGGGGGTGGCGGGGGTGGCGGGGGTGGTGATCGTGGAGGACTTCGGTACCGTTGGCAATGATGCCCATGCTGCTGAGCTGGCGGTGGACTTGGTCCCTGCTGGTGATGGTGGTGGTGGTGGTGGTGGAGGTGGCGGTGGTGGTGGTGGAGCTGGTGGTGGTGGCGGTGGTGGCGGGGGTGGTGGGGGTGGTGATCGTGGAGGACTTCGGTACTGTTGGCAATGATGCCCATGCTGGTGAGCTGGCGGTGGACTTGTCCTGCTGGTGATGGTGGTGGTGCTGGTGCTGGAGGTGGCGGTGGTGGTGGAGTTGTTGTTGGTGGTGGTGGTGGTGGCGATGGTCGAGGTGGCGGTGGTGGTGGAGTTGTTGGTGGTGGCGATGTTGGAGGTGGCGGTGGTGGTGATGGTGGAGGTGGCGGTGGTGGCGGTGGGGGTGGGGGGTGGTGATCGTGGAGGACTTCGGTACCGTTGGCAATGATGCCAAGCTGGTGCGCTGGTGGCGGACTTGGTCCTGCTGGTGATCGTGGTGGTGGACTTGGTGGTGGACTTGGTGGTGGGGTGGGTGGTGCTGATGGTGGAGAACTTCCCTGCTCTGGGCGATGGTGCCCCGACGCGGTGTGGTGATGGAGGGACTGGTGGTGGTGGTGGTGGTGGCGGCGGAGGGGGAGACTGGTGCTGCTGGTGCTAGTGCTGGCGCGGGCGTTGGTGGACCTGGTGTTGGCGGGGGTCCTAGCGTGGCAGGAGCGGCGGAGTTGGAAGGCCACTGCGGCCAAGCGGGGCCTCAAGAGACTATAGGGCGCGCGTCGGGAGCATGTGGTGCCATGCATCGGGTCTTCCTGGTGCAGCCCAGTGAGTTTGTGAGGGTCCCTGGAGGAGAATGGGACGGATCAGGGCTCGGGGTGGCAACTTGGTTGCCCCTGGTTGTGCAAAGAGAGGAGGACTCTGGCAGTGTGGGTAGAGTGAGACCGGGAGGGAGGAACCGTGATGAAAGGCGTGGAGGTGGGGCGCGGCCCCGTGGGCTCTGGTGCGGCGCGGCGCCGTGCGGGTGTGTGGTGGTGCGGG